CACATGTATCGCCACGGGGCTCATTGAATAGAAAGAATTAAAGAAGTAGGGAAAAAACACATTGAAGCTTCCGGCATCTAAGGAGGTATTGTCTTCACAAGCAACAGGGAAAATGACATTACAGATGGTCCCTGGTTTATATCAGTTCCTCTTCCCAATTTTTCGACTTTAAAAGGTTGTAAAAGCAATGTGCACTCAGGAGAGACTAGAGTTGGAATTTTGCATCTGGATCTTTTCCAGGACTAGTGACCTGCTGTCCGATCCTCCCTGGAGATGCTGGGCAGTGATCTCAGACCACGGCTCCCAGGCAGCCCAGGATCGCAAGGGGAAATGGGGACTGTCTAGAGGGAGCTGTGCTGTGAGCTGCGATGTCGCGTAGGTGAGGGTGGAAATGCATTTTTGAATTAGGATATTTTCAATTTGCAAGGGGTTTTGTCGGGACACAACCCTCCATTAGCATCTGTACTCACTCCTCACTGACGTTCCTTTGTTTTCGTTTATTTTTGGAGCCTTTCCCCAATCCTGGCTGGGTGTGCATGACCTTGCCTTTGGTCTTGAGAGCTTGGGTCCAGTGCAAGCCAAGGAGCTCTGTGACTAGATTTACTAATAACCACAGGCCTGACAACTAGTTGTATTACTTACAGAATATTTACATTGCCTTTTATGCTTGCAAAGTCAAAAAGGGTGGAGAACTAGCCCATGAACAGAAAAAAACGTCTCTCTCATGTCTTTCCCTTAACATCCTTCAAAATTAAAAAGCAGATCTTCCTCCCGTCTCCCCATCCCCCAGCAGTTCTGATTTCAAACCCGAACCTTGAGATATGAAGCCTCAGGTCATGAGAACCACGGATTAATGCCATTGATTTCCTATCTCTGGTTATTCAGTGTATACACTGGAAATATGATTAATTAGGGGCTCACATGTAGAACGACACATATCTGTTTAATACTGTGTTAAGCAACTTAGATCTTTGGTTGTGCAAAGAAGTTACTGTCTCACCTGCTGGGAGATGACCTTTCCCACAGGAGAAGCTGAAAACACCTTTATCACTGGTGGGGCCTGTTGGTTGGAAACCGGAGCGCCCCAGCCAGCCCGGCCAGCTCCTCTGCTGGGCACCCAGCGGGTCTCAGCTCTGGGCCTCAGAGCCTTTGCGGCCAGCTCGTCACAGCTGTTCCTCAGTCTGGGAGCTCAGACATGTCCTCCTGTCCTTCTCTCTTCTTTAATGAGCTCTGTTTATTGAGCACCTTGGTTGACATATTGCAGGATGAGCTCAGGAGTACTTCGCCAGTGACATCACGATGGCAGGATTTGGCAAAAATGACGCTTTGTGACTGCTTAAAGCTTCCCACCTGTGTGCTCAGAATTTTGTGCACCCGAGCCTCTGATTGGTCGGCCCAGGCAACGGGCATGTACCTCTCGAGATCCCGAGGCCGAGAAGGGTGCCCGCCAGAAGGGTGCTTCTGGCTGAGCTCAGGCAGGGCCCTTTCCCGTTGGTCTTCCGTGGGGTGAGCAGGTGGAGAGATCCCTTGTTTCCGCCCCTTTTTATGAGGCTTGGGCCCCATTAGGAGGGTCTCGCCCATGTGGTCTCATCTAACCCTTGTCATCTCCTAGTCCAGACACCCTCACAGTGGGCATTAGGGAGGTCACATGTGAATGGGCGGGGGCTGTCACAAACATTCGGTTGACAGTGCCAGGTCAACGAGGATGGGGCCTCTTGGGCTCCTGGATCATAGATGACCAGAAACAAGCATGGTGCTTAGGAAACAGGAAGAAGGACAGACGGAGTGCTCTGGAGGGTTGGGAAGGACCGAGGCTCTTTATGACCCAGCGCAGAGGGGCCTAGAGGAGGTGTCACGTCCAGGGGACGGTGCCCAGCCCGCTGTAACCACGGTGGCCGCTGCCCATTTGCCATTTTCCTGGCTGTCTCGGAGGGCTGCTGCTCCAKTGTGGCTGTCATGCCTGGTGTCGCTGACCGGTCCCTTTGGGAGTGACCCTGGTGGGGAAAGCAGCCCCTGTCACCTGCACTTTCCCAGGTCTTCCTGGAGGAGCCCAAGAATGTTCCTTGGAGATGAAGAAGGAGGGTACGATGAGGTCCCTGACCCAGTGTAACGTCAAGCTCGTTCTATCCTGAGTGTCTGGGAGCGAGCTTCCTCCTGCCACGTACAGGTCACAGGTGGTCCTCGTGGGGGATGTCAGGGGGCACAGGGGCCTGCAGGGCCTGGGGGAGAGTGAGGGAGGTGGCCTCCATGTAGCACAGACCAGCTCTGGGCTTCTGGCTGTCCTGCGTCCACCTGTAGACTGGCATCAGTCCCAGATGAAGAGGAAAGGACTTGAAAACGCAGGAGGAGGACGCTCCCCTTCAGCCTACAGACAGCATCGATCCTTTATGTGAAGAGGGGAGATAGCAGGCAGAAGAACCCCAACCCGCCTCTCCTAAAAAATCTGCCTTGTTGAAAACTGGAGCCAATGGGAGAAGATAAGGCCATTTCTCTCTCTGTATCTGGGGATGTGGGGAGACCTGCTCTCCATCCCCTCCCCGTGGCTTCAGGAAGCCTTGACATCCTCCTGCAGACCTGGGGCTCCCATGCAGATTGGGTCCTTAYCATCCCCCTCTCCTCCTCTTGGGACCTTCCCATTTCTGTAGTTTGAGGTCACCTGAGTGCTGAGGACCCTCCCCCTTCTATTGCAACTGATGACTGTCAATGCTTCTGGGAGTTTCCTGACACCTTCTCTTAAAGAAGCACTGCCCTTAACCCTGTCCCTTGGAGCAAGTTTCTGAGTCCCAGGCTGTAGTTTGGATAAATGTCCCCTAAAAGCCCGGATGTAAAAGCTTGGTCCCCAGTATCACGCCACTGAGAGGCAGTGAAATCCTCAGAGGTGGGGCCTGGTACAAAGACGTTAGGTCATTGAGGGCATGCCCTTGAATGAAATATTGGGACCCCAGCCCCTTCTTCTCTGTCTTTGCTTCCTGGATGCCATGAGATGCACAGTTCTCTTTGTCACATACTCCTGCCATGATGTACTGTAGCCACCACAGACCTAAAGCCACAGGGCCAAGCAACAATAGACCAAAGCCTCCAAAACTCTGAGCCATGAAAGACCTTTCCCCTTACTAATTGATTATCTCAGGTATTTTGTTACAGTAACACAAAGCTGACAAACAGATCTGTGTTTTCACATCCACAGTAAGAAGGTCTGGAATTGGATAAATTTTAAGCTCACCAGCAAGTAAAAAGAACACCAGCATCTACAGACTTTTCTACCACAGCAGATCCTTTGGAAAGAAAATTGAAAGGAAATGGGAGAGAGAGAGACAGCATGTATTGAATTTCTCATTAGCCCCACTGCCTGGTTCTCATTAGTGAGCCTTCTGGGTTATGGGCACAAGGGCCAGGGCTTATTTTCATGGCTGAATAGCACATGTGAAATGCAGGTGATTTCTAATCCACATTATGTGAGTTCCACACTTCTCTATCTTATAAAGTAATGGGCAACGCTCAAGGAAACCCCCCCCCCCAGAATGACGAGCTAATCCTTGAGGGGAAAATATTACTGCTCTGCATAAGCTTTTGCTCTCTGCTTAATTAATCCCTAAAACTTTCAGGCCTTAATGAGAATAATTAGACTTGACAGTACCGAGCTTAATGCACAACTACGGACAACAGAAACCGTGTTCAGTGTATGAGCTTCCCAGAGCCTGCTGAAAGACAGGCCGAGTTATTTACAGCAGCCCCGACCAGGGGCCAGACGAAGGCTCAGACTGGAAATGGTGCCTGGCGCTCGCTCCCCGAGGACAGTGTCTCCACGGAACAGGGCTCGGTAGCCCCCCTTTGTGGCTTTTCCTCCATAACAAACCCTGGTCTAGACAGGACCTGGCTAGAAATTCCCTTATTACCACCCCGCCAGACTGCATTTATCATCACCTTGAACGTGGCGCTCACGCAAAACCTCCAGCCTCCCCCTTTCAAATAATGAATCGAGGGAGCCGGAGAGTAAGTCCACGCTTTTCTGAGCTCCACTAAGGTCTGCCAGCTTCTGGAAATACCTCATTTTCCAGAAAAGCATTCATTTGTCAACAGAGGGATAATGTTAAAACCTTAAAGACAGCTCAGACAGGAGGCAGGGGCGGGGGCCGCGGGCCGGCGATGGCCTGGGGGACTCGGCTGCTCTGCCTCGTGCAGTTTTCTTGATTTGTTAGCCTCATGCCAGCCTCTGTCTTCTCCACGAGAAGGTTTAAATCTCCTTTGGAAACCCAGTGGGCTCACTGTCCCCCGATGGAGAGTCTAGAATTATCCCTCGGTGCTGCGGGGATGGCCAATATCGACTTTGTCCAAAGGAAGCTCCTCAGCCAGGGACCCAATCATCAGGCAGGTCAGGGAGGTGTCTCTGGTGACACTGTGGGAGCTGGCTGTTACAGACACGGAGAAGGAACTTGGTCCATCCTGTTGAGATGACATCCGGGTCCTTAAGAGCAGGGATGGGTTTCTGCACAGTCGATTGGTGGCAATTAAGAGTTGGTGTGAAATTGCTAAGTGAAGCCACTCAATCATCCTCCAGGTTCTGACAAGAGTTATAATATCCACTTGCAGAGAGATTCTGCTCCGAAACAGAAAATAACAGCCGGGCCAGAGGACGGTCCAGTGCTTTTCAATTTTAAAATGATCTGAGATTCTGGAGTTCTTGCAGGTCTAAGGAGTTGAGAACGCAGGGGTGCAACCTGTCATTCAAAAGCCAACGCCACCCTTTAAAAATAAAGCAACACACACGTGCACATGTACACACACACACACACACACACACACACACCCCAATTTGAGGATGGGAACTTTGACCCTGTAAATGGCACAAGGCTAGAGAGCTTTGTTTTTAATTTTCAATCAAGGATCTAAAACAGACTTCAAAGGGCATTTAAGATGACAGTTTTATTTTCTCCTTGAGGAAGAGGAAAGATGAATAAGCGTAAAACCAGATCATTCTCAAAATAATTGCAGCCCTGACATATCTAAATGAGTTTGTAAAAGAAAATACAGTGGCAATTGATCTTATTAATTAGAGATGTACCAGGATTGTAATACCCACTTTTCCACCGATGGCCTGCAGCTACAAAAATAAAATAAAACAAAATAAAATTAGCCCATTTCTCCTGAGGAACACAATCTCTTTCCCTCTCTGCCACAGAATGTCGGTGGGTGACGACTCCTTGTTACCTCCTGTTCAGCGGGCAACGGCCTTAGAGAGCAGAGTGCGACGGTTTCCTTTTTTGCCCATGGAGATCCAGATTTACTCTGGATTCTGCTATGTCCTCCTCGTACGGTGGCTTGTCACAGATGATGGAACATGTAATCTGTCAAACAAACAAACAAAAAGTGTGCTATAAGAAAATGGAAGAGTGGTCTTTTTTTTAAGGTGTCATTTACCTGTGACATAATCCCAGGTCAATAGTCCCTTAGCAGATGGAACAGAAGAGCCCAGGGGTCAGATGCTCTGTGACAACAGGAAGGCACCTACCTGGGCGTGCAGCCTGACCTTGAACTACTGCAGGTAGTGGAGACAAATGAGCTTCCGGCTGGCTGGATTGGAGATCCGCAAAACCCACGTTGTGATAATGCAGGAGAGAGAGAATGGGGGAGAGAAAAGAGGAGACAAAGCAGGMGGAGATGGGGAAGGATGAGACAGAACAAGGAAATGGGACTGGGAGGGACCTCTGGAGTTACTCCAGGGATTTCAAAGTGTGTGTGTGTGTGTGTGTGTGTGTGTGTGTGTGTGCACTCAGCATGGAAGGGGGGGCCAAGTGTGTCTGTGGTTGGAAGGTACGTGGCAGCTAAACCTAGCCTCACACTCCTTGTCAGGGTGACAGCCTACCGAGGACCTATCTTCGCCCTTCCAGGGGACATCTTTGCTAATTTGTACTAAGACACAGGAAGAAGGGCGGTGTGATTTGAAAACAAGACAGACCAAGGGGTGTGCTATTAAAAGTGACCTGCGTCCACCTTTGTCTTCCAACTTGCCTGCAGTAGAAGACCACACGGTCCCACAGAGGGACATGGCCCACGAAACGTGAAAGAAAAGACAGGGGTCTTTCAGAAGAAAAAATGAGACTGTGATTTTTACTTTATGGGAGTAACAAGATTAGATTTATTATGAAAACTTGAATTAACTTTGAAGGAAGACTTGGCGGCTTCTGTGGGCTCATCCACCTTCCCTGTACCTCCCCCAGCGGGCTCGTTACGGAGGAGTGAAGAATGGAGRGGTGAGGGTGTCGCCGGGTGTTGGGACCCACGGGTTCTGACCTCCAAATTAACTAGGGAGAAGGCTGTGTGGCTGGATGCCCCCGAAGCCAGGAGAGACGTGGGTTCTGAGAGCCAGCCTCGGATTCTGCCTCCAGAACAGGAAGAGCCCCAGTCAGGGAAAGAAAGAGAGTTCTCCCCACAGATCAAAGCCCTGAGTCTCTTAAAATGGAAATGAACATTTAAAAAAGGCCTTTCTCSAGGGAGAAATAGGCAGTAAATCAGAGCTTTTGAAAGACAACTGGGGCCTGTGCTGGTTTTGAATAACTTGCCGTTTAATAAATGTTCTATTTTTGACCCTTTAGGGAAATATACAACTCCATCTGAAACTTATGGGCCAAAATAATTTAACTTCTTTTTTCCGTCTCATTTTYATAAGTCTTGTGATGGAGACAAATGATCTGGAAGCTTTCTTTTTAAGGTTTACAGAGGTYTATAGGAGGGACGTGATTTCCCCGTCCTCCCTCTGTGGCCAAKCTTTGGCTAGTGATGTCCACCGTCCTTAGTCTCAGGATCCAGGAGGCGAAGTCCTTGCATGGAGTAAGAAACTCATCTCAGGTTTTTCTTTGGAGGAGTTTGATGGTAATCATGTAAAGACTGCCGTGCTCAATCAGTGTTGTGTCTTCTAAGATGTGGAGTGTGTGTGCGTGCACGCACCCATACAAAGAGCATTTGAATCCRGAGAACTCATATCATGCATCTCCTGTGCTGGGGAAAAGGAAGTACTCCAAAAATGACTGAACTAAGTTGTTGTGTCTTTTCCACGTCCTCTCTAGTCTCTGTGATCCTGGGCACAGTCTGACCACCCTATATCTTTACTGTCTTGTTTTGCTTTTCAGTAAAATTTCACTTGTCCTTGGCTGCCTTGGGACCRAGGCATGATGGACCTGGAAAAGCACTATGGGTTACCCAGAGCCTTGAACTCTTGCACGTTCTCTGGACTCATTTTACCCTCCGTGAGAGGGCCCAGCAAAATCCTGGGAGCACATGCCTCTGGTTTGTTGAGAGCGCCAAAGTCCTGCCGGGTCTTGAGAGCAGCTGTGTCCCCAGCACCAGCTGGGATTCCCACTAACCTAACTCAGATTCAAGGGCTGAGAGAATTCGGATCAGAGGGAGGACTCAAAGACCACATGGAGTTTGGTTTTGCATGTTTTCTTTGAGCGCTGGCCAGCAAAGTCCGTGGCCTCACATCATTTTTCAGCTGGGTGTGGAATAGTGCCATGGAGAGATGATTCATGAGAAGAAATTGCCGAGTTTCTGCTTCGAACTGAATGGAAAAAACTTAGTTGAAAAAAAAATCTCAGACATGCACACCAAAGACAGCGAGAGTTAAATTTATGTCTTTAGCTTTGGGGATCTACTTTCATTATTTCTCTCACTTGACTTGAAAAAATGGGTAAAAATCTGGCCACGAAGCTCTCGCTGGGTTATATATAAGATTTTTGATTGTGCACTGGAGTCTGGGCCATAATAGTAGCCTGTATTTGTTTTGTGTTCTTCAGTTCATTCATGGCTTTTCCTAAAAGTTTTAATTACTTATTAGGCATGAATATAGGTGCCAACATTAGCTGATGAGAGACTGGAATCTTGGTGAGAGAGGCCACATTATCAGTAGTAGGACCAGTCATTTAAYCCAAGACCTCTGCATCCGGGGCCTGTTTTCAACCACAAGGTGATGCTATCTAATGGTTGCATTCCAACAGCGGCTCTCTGACAGCATCTGAGGCCCCCGAAATTCAATTTGGTCCTGACACTAACTATTGAGAGTTTGCATCAGATTCTACAAGTTAAAGGGCAGGGTCCCAAATAATGTCACCCTTTCTTTAGATAAAAGTTGCAGGTGGAGCCTGAGGTTACATACATATTTGTCCAACGTGACTCCAAATTTGGGATCTCCCACAAACCCCTCGGATTCAAGAATTCACTAGAATGATGCACGGACATCAGGAAAGTGGTCTATTTACTGGTACCATTTTATGACAAAGGATGTAAAGCATAGTCAGATGATGAGGTAGGTGGAGCAAGGTCTTGGGGCTGCGGGTGCAAACCTCCCAGGCTTCCACAGATTCCTCATGAAGTCCTGGGTTTACCAACCAAGAACCTGTCTGAGCCCCCTTGCTCCAGAGTTTTACCAAGGTTTCATTTTGCAGGCATGATTGATAGAACCTTTGGCCATTAGTTACCGAACTCAAACTCTAGTTTCTCTCTCCTCCCCAGAGGGGCCAAAATTCCAAGCCTCTAGTCCTGTGGTTGTTTTCTGGGGACCAATGTCCGTCGTGAAACTCTCTAGAGCCCCATGATGAGTGACCTTGTTAGCATAGGCTTAGGTGTAGGTGAAGGGGGCTTGTGGTCCAGAATAGAAGGCGTTCTGACCACTCTGAAAACTCCCAGGATTTCTGAAGCTCTGAGCCAGCAACTGGGGATAAAGACCAGTTATATTCTTCATTATGTCACGGTGGGGTGTAGAACAGTACAGCCAACAATGCCTTCCCCTTTGTAGATCCCGGAGGTAGATCTATTTCATGTCCCTTGAATGTGACTTACTTTGAGGATCAAAAGTGACAATCCAGAACTTCTGTGCCTAAACCTTAAAAGATCTAGTAGCTTTCTATTTTTTTTTTTTTTTTTGGTCTTAAAATGCTTGCCTTTGGAAGCCAGCTGCCCTGATTTGGGGATGCTCAGGAAAGTTGTCTGGATGACCAGGGAAGGGGCAATGTTCAGCAAGGCCTTGAAGCATGAGAGGCATCTCGACTATTCCAGTTCAGCCAGACTCGCTGCTGGATGCAGCAGCGTTTGTGACCCCAGCTCCATCAGCGGAAGCAGGAGGGCCTCCCAGATGATCTGGGTCAATCTGCAGCATGTGAGACATCATCAACTGTTGTGATTTTAAGCTATGAAGTTCAAGTCCATTGGTGACAAAGGCAGCAGAAAAACTGAAACGTGGATCTGTGGAGATTATGAGAGTCTGTCTTTGGGCATTAAAAATCTCACAGACTGCCCCTTCTCGCAAGCTTCTCAGTTATGCAGAATTCTGTTCTAAACAGAAGAGTGTGGAAGTCAGGCTCAACATAACAAAGGGTTCCAGGAACCTGTTCTGTATTTAAAGATTAGAGTATGGGGCCTGGTTCATGCTGATATGGCTCTCTCCATGTGCCTTCCCATCTCAGCCCTCTGGCCACTTTTCTGTATCCTTCTGGGTCACTCACTTTGTGAGCCTAACACAAATTAATGAAACTTCTTCCTCAACGTCTGCACAAAGGCTTACTTTTCCAAATAGATTTTGTTCTTCATTATAGCCACCATTTTCAGTGCCTACATTTTTTTTAGAATTCTATATCCAAAGATTCAAAAGTGTTATTTACCAAAAATCAAAACAAAACAAAAMAAAAACCCAAAACCAAAAAACAAAACAGAAACACCAAACCCACCCCCCCAAAAAAAAACCAAAAACAAACAAACAAAAAAAGAAATGTAGGAAGGTATCAATAAATTAATTAAAATTTACAGTCTCTTAACAAATTCAAAAGGAGAGACCTGGTTGGCTGGGCACATCTCCTTGCTCCATGCGGCCATTCAGGGATCCAGGTCTCTTTAATCACAATGCTCTGCTATCTCCTAGGGCATGGTCTCTTTGGAGTTCCTAAGTCCTTGGAGAATGGAAAAGGTCATGGAGAAGCTCACACCCCATGTTTTCACTAAGGCCTGGAAATAATCTATAGATCTTTTTGTTTTTCACTGAGACATTCCTGCGGCTACACCTGGAAATCACTAGCTGGGTGGCCGTGTGCCCAGTGTCATTTCATCTACTGAAGCCACATACTTGGTTTCCACGTAGTTACTACAGGAGATAAAAGAATGGGTTTTGGTGGATAATTTGAAATATGTGCCACAGATGTTCTGCAGTCTTTGAAGGCAATTTTTTTTTTTAAATTGGCATCTCCAAAAAAAAAAAAGGAATCCTAGCAGCATGACTGTAGTGATTAGATTGGCTATCAATGAGGCTGCTTAATTTAAAGGGTGTGATCTTGTTTTGTATGTCCAAAGTCTGAAATATCTAAGGATCCATTAAATTATTATTATTAGTCATACTAATCTTCCACCCTTTTTGTAATTTCTGTCTTCAACCAAGAGCCAACGCTAAGAGTGACAACCACTCAACAGCCCCAAAGTCCCAAGGAGTGTGGTGTCATTGGCACACAGCAGTGTACATCCTGCCTGCTAGCTACTTGGAAATGACTTGGTGTTCTTGACTTCCAACACTACCGTTTCACCCCTGGATTTTCACCAGTGTTAACTTTTGAGGGAAACTTGGGGCTCATCTTCTTATTTTGTTACTTACAAATT